ATATCAGAATGTGAATGAAAATATGGATAGGTATATTGTGTTTGTTGGTAGGGAGAGGGTGGTGGGGGGGGGGGGGGGGGGGGGATAGTAAAATTATACTTTTACTTTCAAATATTGGATTGTTACCGATGACTTTTATGGTGCTTAATGGGGCTTAGGTCTTCAACTAAAGATTGGCCACTGCCCTGGGGTCATGACTAGAATCTGAATCCTCTTGGATCAATGTTATACGCGTTTAGACTGTGTTTCATTTGGGTTGTGCCTGTTGCCATTGTTGAAATAACTTTAAAATATAAATATTGTTGTGCCAAATATTTTTATGAACAAAATTTTAATTTTAATTTACATGTTTTTCCTTTTTGTGGAGTTCTTTTCTTTGAATTGTAATTTCGAGTTTAATCAGTGATACCAAACTTGGAAGTGTTTAGGTAGGAGTTTACTTTAGTGCTTTGCACAAAAGTTCTTTCTTTGAATGTTATGGTGTAATAGAATTGTTTGATGAATCTAAATTTTAAAATTTATGTCTAGGATGGTGCTGGTCGTGTTGGAAAAATGCTTTTTGCCCGACAAGGAAAGAAATTTGATTATGATCTAAAACAGGTAAGAAATACTTACAATTGCGATGAACTTTAGAGTACTGGACATTTCCCAACTTACAGTATTCACTCACCTTTCTTTAATGCTGAGGTGCTATAGTTGCGGTTTGCGGGTGATCTTCTTATGGAGTTGGGTGCTGGAGTAGAGTTGGCAACTGCAGCTGTGCCGCACCTTTTTCTTCCTTTGGCTTGTGCAGCTAATGTGGCCAAGGTTTGAGCCTTTTTCTTATAACATAATGTATGACTTGTCAGTTTTACAATCTCTGATTCTTGTTTGTTTCTGATAGAATGTTGCTGCTGTAACATCAACATCAACTCGAACACCAATTTACAAAGCGTTTGCGAAAGGAGAAAACATTGGGGATGTGACAGCTAAAGGAGAATGTGTTGGCAATATTGCAGACTTGGTATGCTTGTCGAACTTCTTTCTTAAGATGATTGTACATTACAGGAATGTCAACATGGTACCACTGAACCATATGAGGACATTGGTCTAGTACTTGATATGGTATACATGTTGGTGTTAAATATAAAACATTCTACAGGGCTTGATTGGTATTGTCTACTTTCCTAGAACCATTCATGAATTAGTACATAGAAGCCATTCTAGAACCCTTTTGTTCTTTCCATAGGGATTATGTGGCCATGAAGTGAAATTGTTTCAGCCCATCTGATTTAATCAATCTAACTGTAATTGTGTGTGAAGTACACCTAGAATTATATCTATTTTGGTCCAGTTGTTCCTGCATTTGACATCAATTTGTTGGCTTTTGAAACTATTTATCTTTGGATGTCTTTTTGTGTACAATCATTCCTATTGATATAAGGTTGGCCGAGATAAAACTTGATTGTTATAACATAACGCTAAAGTGTGTAGAACTTGAGATAATATGTACATGTATGTGTTGTCTCCTGTAAAGGCTTTTGAAATATGCCAGTTGGACCTTTGTACGTGGTGGATCCAACATATGCAGAGCACAATGAATAAATCTGTTTTAAGTTTGTATGATTACTTTTACTATATGTGTCATTGATGCTACGAAATTATAAGTACCATTACCTCCATTATTACTAAATTTATTTTGCTAAAATTACAATGACATTACCACATTATCAACTCTTATCAACAATTTCCATCACTACTATATGTTTTCTACAATTAAGTACAATCTTGTATTCTTGTCTAGGATACCAAAGAAATAAAATTATATCCTACTTTGAAGTAAATTCTAATCTAAATAAATCCTCTAGATAATAAAAGGGACTAACAAGCCAGAGCCTGAGTCAAACTCCTAGGTCTTGTCTTATTTTGACCTGAACTGAGGCAAGAGAGATCTTATTTAACCTTTGTTCTTTCAGAAAATATAAGCTTTACATATCCAGAACATACCATATAGCGCTATGTATTTTAGCCATAATAAAATTAATAATTTTTTTGAATTGTCTCCATGTGTAATAAAAATTCCTGTGCATTAGGCATGTCCATCTCTGGCACATAGGCAATGTGGGTTGCAAAGTGTGTTTTTAAGTATCTATGCTTCTCAGAACAACATTTCTTGTGGTGTTCTATCTTAGGAGTAACGTTTCTGTTATACTGGGTGGGACTCCCAAATTGGGAAGTAGGTACTTCTGGTGTCCCTGGAAATACATCTCTCTGGTCATTTCTATTTCTCTGTCAAAATGTGGTCAGGGATGGGTTTGAAATTTGTTTTTGGGAAGATATTTTCTTTGGCTATTCATCTTTTCAATTTGTTTTCCCTTAAATTTATATATCTTCATTGAATTATAGTTTGGTTCTTTGTCATCATTTTCACCTTATAGAACCTTGACTTGGGATCTAACCTGTACGATGAACCTAAATGATTGGGAATTCATAGAGTTTTTGAACTTGTTGACTCCTATTAGTAGTATTGCCTTGACTCCATTCTGACGTGATAGAAGACCATTGGTTTATCCATGAGTCTGCTGTTCATAATCCAATTTTTGGTCCTTCTGAGATACTTTGGTGTCCCGAGAGAAATTTCCTGCTTGGTTCATGGCTCATGTTAAAACCATTACTTGTGAATTGTGATATGCTTCAAATAAGGATGCCCTGTGTTTTCATTATATCCTCATTTTTGTGTGTTATGCAAAGTAGTAGGTGAATCGATTGAGTGTATCTGTTCGCAGGGCTCCTTCTCTTCACAAATTTGGAATAGGTTCTTGCTTGCTTTTGGTCTGGGGTAGGTTATTTTAAGAAACTGTTATTCATTGTTGAGTGAGGTATTTTTGGGGGTCGGAGTGAAGAAGAAAGCTTTTACTATTTCACATTAGGCAGTGTTATAGTCTATTTAGATTGCAGCATACGAATTTCTGATACAGAATGAGGAGATCAGTTTTATTTTGGGAATAGTGCTAAACCAATGGAATTTGTCACAGGATTAGAGTAGGAGATCTTGAATTCATATCCTTGCAATTGCAACCTCCAAGTATAAATTGAATTAGCCATGTTGAGCAGTAGTGGTGAAGAGAGGCTCAAATGTGAGGAGAGTGTTAGAATATAAAATAATTGTTGTCCCACTGCTCATTAGCTTAAGCCTTTGGTAATAGTAGTAAACCAGTGAAATTTATCGAGGAAAAAATTAGGTTTTTTGCCTCTTGTAGGTGTCTTTGGCTATCATTTTTGGGGTCTAACCCTTGATTTGGCTTGAGCTTTGTGTTTAGTGTAGCTTTGTTTTTTTTGTCTTTTTAGTTGGTTTTCCCTAAGTGGACGACTTGTCATCCCTTTTTTTGTACTTTCTTGGGTTTTGTAGAGAACGTGGTACCAACCTTCGAACCCAAGACCACTAGGGAGTTAGTGCAAGCGCACTTAACCACAAGGGCTTTTGTACTATTTTTTTCCTTTATTAACAGTTCTTTTTTTCTTTGCCTATTAAATTCTTGTTTCCTGTAGAAGAATAAGTTTTTAATTACTAAAGTTCTATTACTATGTCTATTTCATTATGCACTTTTATGCATGAATGTAATCATTTGAGGTTGATGTCTGTGAATTATTGCCCCATGAAGCTGGGAACTGGACTGAGCATATTGATCTCAAAAAGAAATCCATCATTAATTACTACATTTGGCCTCCTTTCATGTGGATATGTTCTCAGCTCCTATCAAGAGGTTTGAATGTGTACACTAGTGTAGATTGATTTGGTTTTGCATGTTTCCATGTTGCATTTGTTTAATGGAAGTTATTTGTTTCCAGGTTAAATCTGTAGTATTGCACACCTTGAACCGAGCAAGATTCAGTGTGGCAGTAGATGCCTTTCTTAAAACAGGTTAGCATTAATGTTCTACCCTAGATACCATTTTCCCTTGATGCATCCTTTTCTGTCATCCAGGATATTCGTAACAGCTATGCCTTAGTGTATTTTTCAGATATATATTGTAATTATGCATTTTTTTTCAACTTCTAGGGCGAGTTCCATCATTGCAAGAGGGAAACTTGAATGAAAACGTTTTCAGATTTCCCTGGTTGAAAGAGGGGCCTGTTGTTCTTGGTATGCTTGTGCAAAGATCTTGTTTTCTTTGTCCTTTTAATTCTGAATTGTGATCATCTTGTTTCTGGGTTCGACTTTTTTTTTTTCCTTTTTCCCTTCTGTTATCTTTTGCTTTTATTTACTTTTTTTTAATTTTCCATACTGGGTGGCAGGGCCAAGATTTAAAGATGCATTCCAAGAGCCAAATGTCTATCTTGCGATGGAGCCCCTCTTTGAGGTTGGCCCTCTTGGAGAGGGGTTGAATTTTGGAAATC